AAAGTTCACTTGGCTTGTATTCAGCTAGTCTGGTTTGTCATACTTTTAATCATGTACTTCTCACAGTCATCATCATCTGCTTCATAATCATTATCATCTGTGATTTTTTCCTGATTTTTCATCTTCAATTCTTTTTTCTCTCAAATTCTATCGTATTTTAGCGTGACCCTGAAGATGATGGTTATGAAGAGGAATTTGATTTCCATTCAAATAAAAAGTAGGGCTTCGTGGGTTGTCGCCTTGTCACTTCACCAGCAATAAGATGAATACAATACAATCTGCAAGGTTAATCAACAACAACAGTTTACTTTAGCCTTGCTCATCTTTCAAAGATTCATTATCCTTTCTTTCGAGAATAACATTTTCTATGAGAAAACATTATCATCCGTCATAAAATTTGATAATTTCATGCATCTGAATGAATTGAATGAGGAGAAAAAGAATGAATAAAACTTAAGCTAACAAACGGTAAAACAAGATACAATTTTTTCATGGCTTATTGACATTATGAGGAAATAAAGTTGATCGGTAAGCTTAAGCTTTACTGTGAAAGAATATGAGAAAAAGAAGAAAAAAAATGATGAAAGCGTTCATCAAATGCAATTGAGTATTAAAACAATAAATCAATCTCAATTAGTTGTAACAACAATTCAATGCATTGATGAAATTGAAGGACGTCTACATGTGAAAAGTTGATTGTACAATTGATTTAAACACCGTCAACATTGGTAACAGAAATAAACATTGATTGCATTACGAACTCACTAAGGCAGCACAAACAAATGCACACATTCAAGTGAAATAATAAACAAACTGACGAGAAAAATTGAAGCTTAACACATCATACAGCACACAAGTAAAATATTGTTACATCGTGTTACATTATCGTCTATTGTGAGGGTGATTCTGATTGCAATCAAAATGTTGTCGTCTGTTTGTTTCGACCAAAGATTGTGAAGATTGATGATTTAACACCCAACTTACTCTCCATTTCCCATGGTTTGTAGGAGACTTTTTTTGATTCTCTTATATCAGCAATTATAGTTATTAACCGACGAGTGTAGTAGATGATGAATCCTAACAATAGGAGAGCGAAAAATGAGAATAACCACGTTTCTAAAGCGTAATAGGAAAACATGGCTACACCAGGAAGAATAACAAAAAGAAAAAAAGGAAAAATAAATTCAGTCAAAAGCTGAGATGCATAGAAGTACGTTGGTCGCGTAAATTTTAAATTCAATGATGAACATGAAAGTTGATTGTATACAAATTTGCTCTCCTTTTGTTCAGTTGATCATTATTTTAGGTGAAAAACAACACTGAATATTCTGTTAACACTGGAAACATACATAAGTGTTGAAAACAAACTTGTTCAGATGTTGATCACATTTTAATTTTCTATGTTAGTGAAGCTCTTGATAATATCGTTGGTAGTGCTGGATGATGTTGGTGGTAATATTGAGATGGCAATGGCACAGTAGTAAACAAAAAAGAGCTTTTCCTTGTTTTTGTTTCAAATCAGTCACAAATGATGATTAAATGATTCAAATTAAGTTAGAATGTCATTTGGTATAACGTAAAAATAAGATGAAACGAGCTGTTGCAACGATCCAATTCTCATGAAGAGGAAAGAAAGTGAGAAGATGATAATGATCGTGAGGCTGGATGCTACTGGTGATTGATGAAAAAAACGCAAAGTTGATTCAATTACAATGGAAATAAGTATAACTCCGTTGTGTTTAACCTCGATCTCTATTGGATTAATTAATAAACCGTCACGTGATTATTGTTCACGTCTTGTTTCTCCTTTTCTTTGCATAAGCAACATCAAACCATTAAGTAACCATTTTATCCATATTAAATAAACTTCTGGAGCATATTTTGAATCACTCTTGATCAATGTTTAATAAACATTACATCAGCTTGACACATTAAATTGTGGTTTAGCAGAATCCAGAACAGAAAAAAATCTCAAAAATAGTAACTGGCACTGGGTTCCTAGATACAGTACTGAGCAAAGAGAAATCAAGAGTTAAATATATAAATCTAGCACATGAAGTTAGTTTAGATTTTTAATGAATTAAAAGAGGTAAAAAATATCATCTTACCTTGTTTACTCCCTTTAATAGCGGATTGTTGTGTGAATGTGTAACCTTCATCAGAAAAAAAAGAAGGGAAAATGATGAAAAAAAATAGAGAGTGAAGAGTTTCGCGGTAGCGTTGATACACTCACACACAAAGGAGGAGCAAACTCATCAAAAACATGAAAATCAACTAACCAATCAGGTTTATCATTCTGTTTAGCAAACCATGAATCCTTAAATCACTTCATGTTGATTATTTGATGATAAATAAGTATTCAGTAGAAGAACGGCAAAAAAAGAAAGTGTTGGTCGATTGATAGACATTTTAACTTGAAGAGAGAGAGACAGCAAACCAGAAAAGAAGATACAAGAATAAATCCGTTAGATAAAAGGTTGACCGATTGACTAACATTTTCCCTCTTTTTCTTTTGTTAAAGATAACACTCTTTGAACTCTTAGTGTTCAAAGGTTTACACTTACTTTTTTCTGGTAACAGCAAAAAAAATGTAAAAGCTGATAACAAAAATCAAAATAGATCATCAAAATGGCACTTGGCTATGAAAGAGAGAAATGGCGACTGAAACAATGGCAATTGAAAGTTACATTTTGATTCTTTTGCGACAGAAGTGATATTTTCATGTTCCAAACTTACCTTTGTGTTTAGTATTTTTTTCTGTTGATATAGTTGCCTTGGATAATCAAAGATGGTGATTATTTTTAACTAGATTTAATCATTATTCCGTAAATTGGTTATACAGTTGATTTATTTTTCCTTAAAAGCTGTAACAAGGTAAGATGGCGATGAAAAAACAAACAACACACAGAAGAGGCTAGTCTGTACCTTAAGTCCTTTACGATCCAAATGGTCTCATGATTTGAGAGCCTTGATGTTCATGATGATGAAGGTGATGTAATTGATTAATTTAACAAGAAAATTGATTGTGAAACATTAAGATCAGGTAAAATTGAAAAGTATGATTTACTACTTGCAAGTTAAACTGTTTACTCTTCTTTTTCTGGTTCAATCCTACACTGTACCTAAGTTAACCAGAAAGGTAACACTCCCTCAGATTAACAATTCACAGCCTCTCAAGGGTACCAGAAAAAATTCAATTAACAAATTGTTAGCTAATTAATTAGCAGATATAACAATGATATGAAAAGCTATACAAAAATTAATTATAATGGTAATTACTTAATCAAAATCAATCCATAAACAACACAAACTGTTTACATAAGCGTTCACAGTTACACACCAAATAAAAATCCTCATTAATTCAACTTGCTATTAGCAATCAGCTTTCAACAATTAAACAATTTCCTTTGAGACTCGGTTGATTAACCTTATTTTTGAATAATTTACTGATAATTTGTTTAACAATTGCAAGACAATTTCAAACTCAATCAAAGATACAACCATAAAACCGTATTGAATTACATAAAACTGGATACATTTGTTATATTGACTGCAAATGGTTCAAGCTTAACCCAAAAACAGGATCGTTTCTCATCAGTTTATTAACTCTATCTTGAATGACAATTGACTGAATAACCAAAGATAAGTTCATGTTTAACCCAGTAATGAATGAATTTCGTGAATGAAATTCGATCACTCAAAAAGAGGTCAAGATCGAAATTTGATTTCCAACAAACTAACCATTTCGACCATTAAAGTCTCTATTTTTGACCATTTGCCAAAGAGCAGTTTTTAGCTTCTCTCATGAATAGCTTTAAATTGTAATCTTGTTTTACTCATCATTGTTGGTCAGCAAAGTTGAGCTCTTTACAGCCATTTCACTCCTTAACATCTAAATTAAGACTTGATTTTCATCATCTTTACACTAATTATGATAACAAACCAGCATGACTAAATATGGAAGCATAAAGCTGAGATTGTTAACAATTAACTTGAAAGTTGTAATGAAAGCAAGTTTATTGATGAGAAAAGTGAAAGAGTTGAAATGTTATTTATATTCATAAATCGTCATAGACTGATCATGTGAAACTGAATTACTCAATGATAACATATTTCCTCGATAACAGAGAAGTTTGTTTGAAAATGTTGAAAAAAAATTCATGTTTTGTTCCTGTAAATCCAATAATGAATGATTCCATTGAGTGTCATCTTGAAACCATCAACATTAATAATTAATTACAACTTAATGAGTCTCTGTTTATACAATCTTTCATTGAAAAGCCATAAATAAATCATAATTCAATAAGGTTGCAACTTGAATGAGATACTAATCGTATTATGAACCATCTCTTGTAATAATTCAATCTAATCTCAACATTAGAAGTATTGATTAGTTAATTATTGCAAAGATAATGAAATAATAGCTGAAATTAACACAAAGACTAGTTGTTTAAATGTAAAAGGTCAACTTGTGGGTTTAAAAATAGCTTTTTCATTTGTATTTTTGCCAACCTACAGGGTCAGGGTAAGTTATTGTTGAGGTTGAATGAGATGTTTAAATGTAAAAATAACAAATCA